AAGCCACCAAATTCTGATTATGAAAAGGAAATATACAAAAACTACGCTTTGCGAGATGGAAGGATTTATCGCATAACTGTAAAAGGATTACTTTGGGTAATACCACATGGTATGCGACAACAGATAGTTCGAATGGCACATGATGAAAGTGGACATTTCGCTACAGAAAAGACGTTGAAACGATTATGTGAGCATTATTGGTTTCCTCGAATGCGAGAATACGTGCAGAAATACATTGCTTGTTGCATTCCATGCTTGTTTAACAAACGTCCAAGTGGAAAGCGTGAAGGATTTCTACATCCTATCGAGAAGATGCCTGTACCATTACACATGATTCACATTGATCATGTAGGACCTTTTCCAAAAAGTCGTCGAGGAAATATTCATCTTATTGTAGCTGTAGATGCTTTTACCAAGTTTGTGTTTTTGAAACCAGTAAAATCGACAAAAACAAAGCTAGTTATTGATTATTTACAGGAAATTTATAGCTACTATGGTCATCCCCATACCTTAGTATCTGACCAGGGAAGTGCATTTACCTCATCTAAATTTAAACAATACTGCAAAGATAACTTTATTAAACATATACAAAACGCAGTAGCTACACCAAGAGCTAATGGGCAGGTTGAAAGATTGAATCGCACAATTAAAGGAGCTATTTTGGCAACAACTACTGATGAAGATAGATGGGATGAGAATATAAAGAATATTCAGTTAATAATTAATACTACTTGTTCACAAACAACAGGAAAGACACCGACAGAACTATTCTATGGTTATAAGCCTAGACGTGGAACAAGTATACCTTTACTAGATGAAATTGTGAAAATTCCTACTTTAATCCAAGATCTTCCCACACTACGCTTAGAGGTTGCTCAGAAAATTTCCTCAAATCAAATCAAACAAAAGGCACAATATGACAAGAAAAGAAAAACTCCCAAGAAATATAAGAAAGGCGACTTGGTACTCATCGAGAAACAACGCTCAGCTGAAGGCACTAGTCGAAAATTAGTCCCTCCTTATGCCGGACCCATGATGGTAAAAGCGGTATTACCAAATGACAGATACCTAATTGTCGACATGCCAAAGTCCCATAGAACTATTAAGTCCACTAACTACGAGAAGGTCATTGCTGTCGACAGGATGAAGCCTTGGGCTAATCACGGAGGAATATCAGATGAAACAAGCAGTGATAGCGGTGAAGATGATGTGGAGTTGAGTTCTGATGATTCAGTATCCAACTAGAGTGACCACCTCGGGGCGAGGTGATTTCAGGATGGCCGAATGTAAGTCATTATTTTATTAAACCTATTTTATCGAAATTAAATGACGAAAAATGAACGTGGGCAATACATAAACACACGCTCGACTGTTTATATTAACTGCTTGATGAAATTCTAGCCGCTCTTGAAATAAGCACGATAAAGGGGCTTTGGTTTACGATTATTGTACACACATAGATTTTAAAATATAAAAGTCTTAAGTAACGTAAAATCATTTGAATCATTCATGTATGAGCAGTGTGTTGAAGTTGTTGTTTAGTTCAGTTGATACAAATACTTTTTATAGTGCAAGACTCTTTATATTTGTGGGTGTAAAATAACTACTAGCTAAACAGGTGAGCTTATCACTGAGTGTCTTTTCTTTAGTAATCTGAATGTATATTTAGGCAGCGTTGTTATTTACTGGTAATTATTGTATTTACTTTGAATATGAAAATATCCGATTTAAAGACTGATTTGATAATAGTCCGTACACACGTAAAATTATCTGGAGCGGACAATTGCGTGTTTAATCCCTTTTGTCCATTGCACTACTCAGATGTCGACCACAGGTCAAGCTCTAGTAGCTGGAGCGAGCAAGTTGCGAGTTTAGCCCTTCATGCTCATTGCACAACTCAGTACTAGGAGAAGTATGAGACGTACCGCGTGTTTAATCCCTTTACGTCTAAGGGTGATAACTAGGTAGAGGTCACGTCGCGTGTTTAATCCCCTCGTGACCTAACTGCGATCTCCTAGTTACCACGCCTTGATTATGAACAAGCTATACAAGCTATTTAAATAGCAATAAAATACAATGCGTGTTATATCCCTTTGTGTTTTGGTGATTGTACGAATCGTTATTAAATTGATTAGTATTTAGCAGGGTTATGAGAGTAGACACTCATGTACGTTTTCTTTATTATAGGTAAACCAGATTATGCGCACTAAATGGAAAGTACCTCGACCATCAATCAGACCATCTTGACACTTGTTAGTTTATTTGGTAATTACATTAAACATTAAATGAGTTAAATAAAAACAGTATTAAAATCGTTTAATTGACTTTTAATATTATTTTCTTTTAGTTTACTTTTTAAATATTTTTAAATTAAAATACTATTAATTTTTCCACTTTACAGTTGTTTGCGTTGTGGCTTTTAAATCTGGTTAAAACAAATAACGTTCCAAAATTTAAATATTAGGTACGTGTTCCAGTTAATTATTATAATCCTGGCAATATTAATTTATAAATACAGGGTGTTATGTAAATCATGTATTATATTAAAATACTGAATACTTTTTGACATAAAGTGTAACGGAAAAATATTTAAAAAAATATTTTCCCAAAGATAAAGAAAAAATATGCATTAGATGTTTTTTATATTTTTTATGATACGCCACTGGTTACACACTTTTTCTTGCAAAAAATAGATTAAACTAAATTTAAACAAAATCTGGCAACTTTTTTGACAGAATCTGGAAACGCTGGTTGTTACCAACCATAACATAATAAATTAAATTAGGCAACCAGATTAGCCTAAAGTTCTTAGTCGATCAGTGGCGTACTTTTTGGTAGGATAAAGGACTTTATAAATTATTATTATTATTTAGTATTTAAAAGAAAAAAAGTTTCAGGTGCTTCTTTTCACACCATGTTACAAAATTAAGCACCGAACATTTTTAAAAACACGATTTTCGCTAAAACGAATGCTGCTAAATATGCGCATGCATATTGGTCCATTAGTTTACAGTTGGGGTCTAGATCCCTGTAAATAGTTTTCAACAAGAGATTGCGTTGATTGCGTTGATGTGTTTGCTTTAATAACCGACCCGCGACTGCCGAACTTCATTTGGTTAGTTTCACCGGGTTTACTTCATGAAAGGTCAGACCTGTGTTTTAATCGAGATGAATATCCATGTTAGTATTGGAAGTTTGGCTTAGTACACCCAGAAATGATTGATGATAAACTGTGTGTGGTTAAATGTAATCATGACATACCGTAATAGCATATTTCATTAGCGGCAAAATAGGATTTTCCTTTGCCACGAATAATAACACTAGTATAGTTCGATTTACTAACATTGAGTACGCCCACCTATTTTAACTAATTTTGGGCTGCTGATTTCAAAAATGCCACTCGTTTTGCTCCAGGACGTCTAGGATTCGAAATAATTGCGTAATAAAATGCTCTGCCCAATTATCTCAAAATGTAAGTTTTTCGATAAAATTTTGTTTATTTATTAAATTATTTTGCCTTAAATCTATTTTGGATGTTCAGTATATTTTTAACGTTTTTTGTCAAAAATATACAGGGACTCCATACAAAGTCATCTGTAGATAAATGTCAAATATAAATTTTGTTTGTTCCATTGTAGTCTTATACTATAGTAGTATTTTATAAGGGATATTTAATAAAGCACTTTTCTGCAGAGAAGTGCTTTATTAAATACCAAAACTAAAATTATAATGTTTTTTTGTTAAAAAGTATCATTTTTTAAATTTGTGTCGTTTTTTTAATTACTAATTAAATTGAAAAGGCAACAAAGTTAATGGGTTTCGGTATAAGCATTACTCTTCAAATATTATTTGATATGTTTTTATTCACATCATGCCTAAAGTACCCAAAAATTTAATCTCGAATCTTGTTTATTAGGTCTTATTAAAATTTAATATCGAATTGAAGTATAAAGGCGCCTTTATCTATTTTATCGTTTAAGCACACTAAAGTGCATCTATTAATTATTGACATATAAAATTTAAACTTTAAATTGTATTTTTACTTGAAAGTGATTTTAAGAACCAAAAATGAAAAAAGAGCAGGAAATGAAAGTGGCAGAGAAAGAAAAAGGAGACGAACATTTATGTCGTCGTTGTAAATTTGTTTTGTTTTTGTTGCGTTACCTTTACGCCCAAGAAAAACCAACGCAATATTTCATTAAAATTTTTTATGAGATATACCTACTACTTTAATTTTGCAGGAATATTAAATGGACCTGATATACGACGTTTAATGAAAGATCAAGCATTCAAAAATGCTCTCAAAGTTAACGAGCTTGTCGCATATGGCAGTGTTAAAGCTGTCATTGAAAATGTTCTTGGTTCATATCGGGCCTAAAAGTGGCACCAATTCATTGAAAAAATGCTTCCGTTTTGCAAAGAATTAGCGTTAATATGTCATTTAAAACACATTTTATTTTTTTTATCCTGATAAATTTGCCGAACTGATGAACATGGAGAACGATTTCACCAAGTAACTGCAAATCCAGAGCATTGGTAGATATTTATGGGTATAGCGGAAAGAAGTTGGATTCATTGCTAGGAAACATTTGCTGGAATTTGCAGCAAAAGATGTACGACGATGATGAGGATTAAGCACAATAATAATATAATCCACTTTGATATTGAATACGATTTAATAAATTTAAGGTAGAAAAAAGCAAAATTATGCAATGCATTAAATTTTGAGGGCTTAATTACCGCTAGGAATACTTGGTCTCTCCTGGGCCGTAGTCACCTATATTTAACTACTTTTTATATGATTTTACTCATCTACGCACCACCAAAGCCAAATTAATTGCATTTTTAACTACAAATTTTGACAACTCCGTGATTTTTTGTATTTTAGAGTACATTTTTAGATATGGAAACATTTTTTTCTTACTAATTGTAAATAACCTTTAAAAGAAATACGGCATTTTTTCTAAGAAACATTTTTTTATTTTTCTCCTTTGTTACAGGACTATTGCAAAAGGGACAAGGCAAAGGTGTGGCTCCACTACAAGCCTTCTTTGTTTCAGCACATCGGCACACATTCCTCCCTTAAAGGAAAGGTTCAAAAGCTTAAGGTAGGTCACCTTTGACGCCTACTATGTTTTCCAAAGAACAAATGCTTTACCCCGGCAAAAACTTTATTCCTTTTGGAAAGTGAATTTTATTAAATTCCGGTGTTTAAAACATTGGAAAAAGAATTTTCGTTATCAAAGAAATCTGAAATATTTAAACCGTATTAAAGAATGTCGGAAATCCAATGAAGAAAATTAGACTAGAATGTTAAAATAATATGTATTTTATAAACTTACAAAAAGATTCACCCTGTTTTAATAGGAAGAAAAATGTTTTCCAATATTCAATTTATAGTAGAATAGGTTTTGAATGCATGTCAAAGATTTAGGGGAAGGAAATATCATGTTGGCGAGACAGTAACGAAAATGGCTTTTGAATGGAATATTATATAGAATTTGATGTTTGACTATAAATAACAAAGTTTATCTTGCAAAGAAGAACATTTATTATAAATTATTAAACAGATACTCCAGTATAACAAATCAATAGTGGAAAAAGTCGAATATTAATTTAATACTGGTGCATTCGCCATTTTTTTCAAAATATATTTTTTAGGGTTTATGTCCTATATATTATTTCTATTTTTTATATTTCTTAACTTAATACAAAAGAACTTTCTTTTGCGTAAAGTATCCGGCAATTTCCATCCACGATTCCCTCCTTAAGCTGACAGTTTCTTTTATCTCCATTTCAGGACAAGCAATTCGGCAAAGTTGCCCTTTTCTTTCCGCACAGCAACCCGGAAGCGGAAGTCGTATCCGGCATAAAGCACTACAAGCAGTACACCTTGGAGCGGGCCTACCTGGGCGAGACGTTCTTCTGGGGCTTGTTACCGCAGCCCGGCGACCAGCTTACTTTCAAATTCACCAATCCCATCACTGTCAAGCGGTAAGTTACTACTGTTTATAATATATATATTAGGGTGATCAATCAAAATATTAATCTGCATATAGGAAAAAACATTCTCACCAAGTTTGAGCTCTTAATATTAATTTTAAGCACTTACTATTTAAATTTAAAGTTTTACCGTTTAAAATGCATGTAAAAAATATATTTTTTTTTCAAATTTCTAATGCTTACCCACCTTTGACAATATTGCAAATCGGTTTAATACACCTTATGGGGAATTTCACGCTCTTTAAAATTGCTTTTGAGTTTTTTTTGTAACTCGCATTAGTTCACCAGTAGGAGTCGTCAAAGGACAGTTTTTGAAAAAAATCGTTTTTTTTTATTTTTTCGAGCAAATCGCCAAAAGTAGTGAGAAAAAAGGGCTGATTCATAAAAAAAAAAGTTATCCAACCAATATTTAATGAATTTACTGCCATTTTTATAACTGAAAACGTAAGAAATTGATAAATACCAAACCATAATGTTATTTAGATTGATTTTTTCTATTTATTATCATTATATTTCCCTACACTAAGAAGTTTTTTAAAATTATTATGATTTCTCACTCACAATGAATATGAAAACAACACATAAATTCATAAAAAAACAACAAAACTTTAATCGGAATATACAGAAGGTTATGTAACATATTTCAAATTTCGCTTCAAAAAATTAAATAATCTTCATTTATATTGTTTTGCTATATGACAGAAATGTTGAAAAATTGCAAAATCCACGTTACAATTTTCTTATTGTTTTTTTATGAATTTATCTGTTGTTTTCTTATTCATTATAAGTGAGAAATCAATAATTTAAAAAAACTTCTTAGTGTAGGGAAATATAATGATAATAAATAGAAAAAATCAATCTAAATAACATTATGAGTTGGTAATTATCAATTTCTTACGTTTTCAGTTATAAAAATGGCTGTAAATTCATTAAATATTGGTTGGATAACTTTTTTTTATGATTCAGCCCTTTTTTCTCCCTACTTTTTGCGGTTTGTTAAAAAAAAAATTAAAAAAAAAAACGATTTTTTTCAAAAACTGTCCTTTGACGACTCCTACTGGTGAACCAATGCGAGTTACAAAAAAAACTCAAAAGCAATTTTAAAGAGCGTGAAATTCCCCATAAGGTGTATTAAACCGATTTGCAATATTGTCAAAGGTGGGTAAGCATTAGAAATTTGAAAAAATATATATATTTTTTACATGCATTTTAAACGGTAAAACTTTAAATTTAAATAGGTACTTAAAATTTATATTAAGAGCTCAAACTTGTTGAAAATATTTTTTTCTATATGCAGATTAATATTTTGCTTGAGCACCGAAGAAAACAAAAACTTTGCGGAAATGAATCACCCTAAAATATATATATATATATATATATATATATATATATATATATATATATATATATATTAGGGTGTTCCTTATTTAGGGGTCGGAAAAAATTTAACAGAGCCGCCCCCCAAATCGGTTCCAAATCATAAAAAAAAAAATTCCTGCAAAATTTTAGGTCATTCGGTCAAAGGGAACACGTGCCCCACAGGGGTTTTTTAAGAAATAATTGAGAAAATTCGGAAGGCTGATTTAACTCCGAAACGGTCCATCGTAGGAAAAAAAAGTGTATATAAATTTTATGTGTTTTTTTTAGATAAACAACTTTCGTAATAACAGTCCTGCGTTAAAAAAATTTATTCGGGGTCAAAACGCGATAAAACGCTTTTTTGTGTACTTTAGCGCTACCTACTTTTTCAATTTTCTGTCCTAGAGCATCGACCCAATGACATAAATTGTAGGGGACAATGCACCCTACATTTTTTGTTGACAAAATTTTTTTCTTAAACTAACCGATTTTGAAAAAAATTAAATCCAAAACTTTTTGAGTTTTCACTAAAAACACGTTGTGCTCCGAAACTACGAAACGGTTTATCGTAGGAAAAAAAAGTTAAAATATATTTTGTAGTTTTTTTCAAGCTAATCAACTTTCCTAATGCCTTTGTCACAATAGTGTTAATGTTAATGGTAATGTTAATAAAGCATAGACAAATGCGTGTATCAACGCAAAAAAAAAATCTTGCAAAATTTGAGGTTAATCGGCAAAAATAACACGTGCGTACGTGTTAGTTTTGACGGATTAATCTTAAATTTTGCAAGATTTTTTTTTTGCGTGAATCATTGTGGCCTTATAAGAAAAGCCTAAACTCAACTGCGTTATCCTAGTCCGGATTAAGGAGAAAACTCAACTGCGTTATCCTACTCCGGATTAAGGAGAAAACTCAATTTTTGTTTTTTTATATTTTATTTTTCTCAAAAACGATAAGATTTAGAAGACAAAAAATTAATCAAAAAATGTAGTCCCTACAATTTATGTTATTAAGTCGATCGAAAATTTCAGCAGTAGGTAGGGCCAAAGTACCAAAAAAAGCGTTGTATCGCTTTTTGAACTCGATTTTTTTTTAACGCAGCACTATTATTATATCTCACAATAGTGTTAATGTTAATAGTAATGTTAATGTTAATACCCAAAGCATAGAAATATGCGTGTATCCGTTCACAATGATGGTAATGTTGATGGTTACGTTGATACACGCATTTGTCTATGCTATATAAACATTACCATTAACATTAACACTATTGTGACAAAGGCATTAGGAAAATTGATTAGCTTGAAAAAAAAACTACAAAATTTATTTAAACTTTTTTTTCCTACGATAAACCGTTTCGGAGTTTCGGAGCACAACGTGTTTTTGGTGAAAACTCAAAAAGTTTTGGATTTAATTTTTTTCAAAATCGGTTAGTTTAAGAAAAAAATTTTGTCAACAAAAAATGTAGGGTGCATTGTCTCCTACAATTTATGTCATTGGGTCGATGCTCTAGGACAGAAAATTGAAAAAGTAGGTAGCGCTAAAGTACACAAAAAAGCGTTTTATCGCGTTTTGACCCCGAATAAATTTTTTTAACGCAGGACTGTTATTACGAAAGTTGTTTATCTAAAAAAAAACACATAAAATTTATATACACTTTTTTTTCCTAAAATGGACCGTTTCGGAGTTATATCAGCCTTCCGAATTTTCTCAATTATTTCTTAAAAAACCCCTGTGGGGCACGTGTTCCCTTTGACCGAATGACCTAAAATTTTGCAGGAATTTTTTTTTTATGATTTGGAACCGATTTGGGGGGCGGCTCTGTTAAAGTTTTTCCGACCCCTAAATAAGGAACACCCTAATATATATATATTAGGGTGGGTCAAAAAAACCGACTATTTTTTTTTTACTTTGTACTCTGAAAAATCGGTTAATAGACACCTCTAGAGAATTCTTACCAAACATGAGCTCTTAATTTTGATAACAAGGTTCTCCGCTTTACAATTTTCCATTTTCTCCTCAGTATTAGAAACAAAAATTCATATCTCTTCGACAACTGTTCGTTAAAAAATATCTCTATTATAGAAGTTTCCCTTTCGAAAATTTATTTGAGACTTTTTTATTTTAATAATATTTTCATGAAATTTATCTTTATAATAACTTATAACTTATTTTTCTTTTCAATATAACCAAACATATTATGTAGGACTAAACAAATGAGAAAAATAGTTTCTCTTTTCATAGGAACTCAAATTTGTAAAAATTTTCGTAAAACTCAAAAATTAAATTGAAATTTTTCGAATTATTCATCAAAAACTGTTAAAATTAGTATGCATTGAAGTTTGACGATGAGTATCTTTTAAACGCTTAATGTAATCGACAAATCATAAGAGACCATTTTTGTAGAGCAGTTAATTTCCTACAAAATTTTTGTAAGCGAGTAATGAAAAAAAAAATTGTTCGATATTTCTTCTTATACGATTCTCCAATAATTTTTAATAAAATACTTGGTTTTATTTTTAAATTTATTTATTTATTTTTTAAATTTTAAATTAACTCTTTTCTTCGGTTGAACACTCCCGTTTGTGGTAAACTGCTTGACTGTACGGTTAAATGAAGTACGTGATCGAATTTTATCCGGAAAACGCTGAGCGTAGATATTAACAGCATCATCAGGATTCCTGCCTGCTTCTCCGTAAATCAAAATCATTTCTATTTTTTCTTTCACTGTTATTATGAATAACTGCTTAACGAAAGGAGGTCTTTTTGTTTGCAAATTAATTTTCGAACTAAATTGATTAAATAATGCTAAACTATGTATAAATAGTGAAATAATGCATAAAACTTAAAGCAAAGGAAACTTAAATATTAGTTAAAAAATCGTGGGTACTTAAAAAAATCATATTTAATTTAATAAGATAATTATTACCAAAAAAAGTGATATATTTATAAAAAAAATTAATGCATAATCGTATACAAAAGAAAAATCAAACAAAATTGATTTTTTCATTACAGCGCCATCTATTACAAATATGAAACAATTTTTTGTTTGTTTTTTGCATTATCTTAAAAACAAGAGCTTATTGATCAAGATTGCTGTCGACCAGTGTAATTTAGCTACATTGCGAGAAAAATTTATAGACCTATTTGCAATATTAAGAATTTATACGCCTTTTACCTAAATGATTTTTAACGAAAATATGAAAGCAAGGATATTTATCACAAAAAGCTTTTATCTGAACAAATATTCATAAAGAATCCTAGATAAACATTTATTTTCTACGAAATTATGGACAATAATAAATTTAATACATCCTAGGATAAGGATAAGGACAGAGAATGTTATTCTTTTCTTCTATTAAAAAAGCAGTAACTCGTAAACCGTTTCATTATAGATTAAAGTTCTATGCTATCTCCCTACACCAACTTTTATTTATTCCATTTCTTTCCTTGGACTTTAACGATTTCTCCTATCGGGTTGTTTGTCTTTTCCTTATTGATACATTGTATGCATTATTTTATCTAGGATTTTACCGTGTAGCTTAAATCCATTCAACAAAAACAAGTTTATAAAGGTTTTTACATAACCTGGAAATTATATAATTTTAAATGGGTGAATATATTGAGATGATATAGAGATAGCTTCACGGAGGTTAGGATTTCGTATGTTTTTTTAACATCTCTTTGCATATTTAAAATAAGTTGTATTGTATCTTTTAACACCTTAATATTTTTTTAAAATATAATTGTACATACAGTTGTATTCATTAAAAAAGCGTACAAGAATTAGAATGAGAGAAAACTGTCAACATTATTGCGTAAAACCGGCTTTCCACTGACTTAAGTCACTATAACTGACAGTAGAAAATAAAAATGCCTCGTCAGTTAAAAAGGCTCAAATAGTATCAAGAATCGAAGAAGAATGGTCAATTCGTACCGTGGTATAATAGAAATAAAAAATCTATATTAAAAATTAATAATTTTTGTAATATTATTTAATTAACCTACGACGTCAATGCTCTTTATAACCTATAGTAATTATTTTAATGACATGTCAGTGATAAGCCGGTTTTAAGCAATAATATTATTTTGACAGTTTTCTCTCATTCTAATTCTTGTACGCTTTTTTATTGAATACAACTGTACATAAAATATTTATAAAAAAAGATATTACACTTCACGGTGGATAGGTTTTTAAATGGCAAGTTAATGAACTTAAACTTTTGAATTATAAAACAGCAACACTCTCATCTGCATATAAATTCGAACTGACCTTCAGAAATCACATGCATCTATAATGTCGTAAACAGAGGTTTTTGCTTATTTAAAATGATTAAAGCGGCATCCGTTGCATAAAATTTAAAGCAAAAACAGATTCACGGAGGATAGAATCAATTTTTGTAACACCTACATAAATGGTTATAAAAATAATTTCTTTTAATTTTTAATAATATTTTATATTTGATTCGATTGCTTTGGATGTGTTTAATTTACTTAGTGAACTGATATTTTTAGTATGCTTTTACTACCTCAGATATATAAAAAAAAACAATAAACTTTTTGTTCATTTTATGTATTTAGATTTTGCGGACGAAAACTGTTTTATGCGTTAAATCCCGAATCAATGGATTGCAGACGGTATAAACGCTGAGCAGGAAAAATTGCGGGTAGACGAGGTTAGTTTGCAGGACTATTATGTCCGCGTCAGCAGGATTTTCGAAAATATAAAAGCGTAAATACCAAGATAATCCTGGCAAGATTGAACTCTTGATTGCGTATTACCCAATTAAAGTTTGCTAAATATTTCTTATGGAGCTACCTTAAATCTACATCGACAGACCACAAAATTCAGAAGACCTGAAAAATCAAATTCGTGAAGCAATTAATTGGTTAATGTAACCATTAAAAGCATTTTCAAAATAATTTACATGAAGATAAAAAATAGTTTATAAATGTTTAATATAATAATAAAATAGCAATATAGCAAATAAACAAAACATTTTTATTTGTTGCTTGGTCTTGTTGGATCACATTGTAGATTCTACAACATTTATTACGTGATCCATTTTGATTGGAATCTATGAAAAAATCCCATCAATAAATTTCGTCAGTAATAATTAATTGATTCAATTTGTCAAAATTGATTTCAGCCGGCAATAAAACGGAATGATTTGTTTTCTGTGCTAAACATAAATCAGAAGGACTGTTTTCTTTTTATTTTTAATGGCACGCTTGATCTTTTTTCCAATTTCACCGGGCAAGATTGCTCTGAAAGTCGAAATATTTGGAATACCGCAGTTTCGTTTTAAATGGACCCAATTTTATATACCTATTTATTTATTTTTTCAATTTTAATTAAAGTAGCTGCTCAAAATAACAATATTAAATATTTGCTCGACGATTTTTTTTTTCGGTTGAACACTCCCGTTTGTAGTAAACTGCTCGACTGTACGGTGAAATGAAGTACGTGATCGAATTTTTTCCGGAAAACGCTGAACGTAGATATTAATAGTCATCAAGATTCCTGCCTGGTTCCCCATAAATCAAAATCATTTCCATTTTTTCTCCCACTGTTAAAAAATCCATTATGAATAACTGCTTAACGAAAGGAGGTCTTTTTGTTTGCAAATTAATCTTCGAACTAAATTGATTAAATAATGCCAAACTATGTATAAATCGTTTCTTTATACCTCAATAATAATTATTATTTATAACTAAATACCATTTTTTATACCTCAATTAGGATTAAATTAATTAATTGCCAAAATTATGTTTTTTTACCTTAAATGAGGTATTTTTATTAAAAATAGTACAATAATCCTTTAAACTAAAGGATTTAATGCTGGCGGGTAAAAAGTGACCATGGTGCGCAATTGATAATGATCACCGAATGAAATATAAACTTAAACCAAAGGATAGTTAAAAAATCGTGGCTACTTAAAAAAATCAGATTTAATTTAATAATATAATTATTACCAAAAAAGTGATATTTTTATAGAAAAATTATTGCATAATCGTATAAGAAGAAAAATCGAACAAAATTAATTTTTTTATTACATCTCCATCTATTACAAATATGAAAAAATGTTTTAGACAAAATCTACCTATTTTAGTCGAATGAGTCTACAATAAAAAATTGGGTGTTCCATTGGAAATTTTAAAGTTACCCCCTGTTCCCCCTATAAGGAGGAGAGTATGGGGACCAATTTTAGTACTGAATGATTTCCCCCTGTATATTCATTTTGCTTTGAAAAGATTTTGTAAATTGTAGAAAAAAACTACATAAAGGAAAAGAGTCTTCATCCGTTGCAGTTGATTTTTATTAAGAACGTACTGTGAAACGCTTTTCTGCTTTCAGACTACAAATGCTGAGTCTGAACTGAACCCTTAGTGAACGTTAGTATCCTCCCAATAGTGTATTTTGACCCGAACTGACACGTTTAACAGATTGTGGTAAATTAGACATAAAAAATACATAGAGAGAATTTTCAGACAGAGTATATTAGACCGAGGTTTGCCACAATAAAGGTTTAAAATTTTAGAATTAATTTATCATAACCAACAATTAATTTTTTAAATAAATATCTCCAAAATATTTAATTGTATAAATAAGTAATAACAAATGAAATTTATATCAAATGATTTTTTTATTTGATGTCGGATTTAAACGAATATTAAAGAATATCGTAGATAAATTAATGGACAATCGCTCACATTTTAAAAAATACTAAAAAATAGACGTACGTTTTTAATATACAGGTTTAAACAAAAAAAATGTTTTTTACCATAAGTTTAAGACACTCTGTAGAGTGGCAAAACCGTATATTGTTCTAAATTAAGTTTTATTTATCAAGTCACATCTATTCTAACAGTTTTGTTTTTGGTTCACCTCGATATATTTATTTTTGTGGAAAATATGGATTTTTTTAAAAAACATTGCAATTTCCAATATCTTATATACAGCTTTCAAAAGCTATCAAATTGTTTTTGTAAATTAATGTGTTAATTTTGAGGTGTCTTCTTACTTTTAAAAATGTCTCCGACTGATGTTGCCCTTTGTACTTTACTTCTTATGACGTTTAAAACACTTGCCACGTAATACTGTGACCGTCCATCCTGGATTAAATTAATAGCTCTGGCAACATCAGTCGGAGACATATCCATTTTTTAAAGTAAGAAGACACCTTAAAATTTAAATATTAATTTGCAAAAAACAATTTGATAGCTTTTGAAAGCCGTGTATGACATGTCCAAGTATGGGATGATTCAACAAAACTGTCACTGTCATTCTCCATAGCCTATGGATGGACCATAGCAACCTTAGTTCTTCTTTTTAAAAAAAATCCATATTTTCCACAAAAATAAATATATCGAGGTGAACCAAAAATAAAACTGTTAAGAATAGATGTGACTTGATAAATAAAACTTAATTTAGAACAATATACGGTTTTTCCACTCTACAGAGTGTCTTAAACTTATGGTAAAAAACATCTTTTTGTTTAAACCTGTTTATTATAATCGTACGTCTATATATTAGTATTTTTTTAAAATGTGAGTGATTGTCCATTAATTTATCTACAATATTCTTTAATACTCGTTTAAATCCGATATCAAATAAAAAAGTTATTTGCGATTGAAATTCATCGAAAATTTGTGTGGATCGATTATTTTGCACGTGAGTATTAAATAAAGCTACATGAATACTTTGGGTGATGCATAACTATTGAAAACAATGTATATTTGACAAAACAAATTTATTACGATGATAAGCTATAGTGGTTACTTTATTACATGCCTACATAGTTTCAAAATTAGCTAGAGCGCATTTCGCGCAAACTATGCAGCTTTATACCAACGCATATACGCTTTCATTACATGATTTTCCTGTTTGTTTGCGTAGGTTTCATTTCAAGAGCGGCAATGCAGAACATCCATCGGACAAGTTCTACAACGCTACAGTCGAAGTGCTACCGATTGATACAACTTTGTATAACAGCAACGGAAATTCGCTGAATTTCACCACTGACGGCTACATTGTAGTAGGTAAGTCATACATATGGTAAATGTGATCTTGAAGATCTTTAATTGAGCTAAATCGTCTTGGGTAAGAGATATTTAAATTATTTATTTGACATATTAATAAATACATTACAACTTTTATATAAATGAATTATTCAGGAAAAAAACTTAAAAAATGTGTTATAAATAGAGTCATGTATCTATGGAACGCCGTTTTACTATTTATTACTAGTTGGTACCATTTAAATTATTGTTAATTTTTTTATAGGTTTGATAATGGAAATTAAAGGTATTTTCGTTAATGGACATTGAATTTTTATTTTAAGTTATAATGATAACTATAAATAAATTTATGTACAAATAAAGTTTAATTGACATATTTGTTATTTGAATTTACATGTTTTCTGAATTTAAATGATACATACATTTCTGTATTTCAGAAGGGTTATAGAAACAATGTCAATGTTGTACCAATTAATTAAATATTTCAAATATTGAAAATACATATCCATTCTTATTTAAAATGAAAATGATATTTAAATTATTATTTAACATCAAAATTGAAACAATTTTCTTGATTCTTTAATTTATATTATACTTTAATTTCCATTATACTTTAAATTTTATGATATTTTAATTTCGATTATACTCTACTAAAAATGAAATAATCAAAATTCTGCTACACTCACAGGCAAAATAATCGATCCACACAAATTTTCGATGAATTTCAATAGCAAAAAACTTTTTTATTTGATGTCGGATTTAAACGAATATTAAAGAATATTGTAGATAAATTAATGGACAATTGCTCACATTTTAAAAAATTACTATACAGGTTTAAACAAAAAGATGTTTTTTACCATAAGTTTAAGAGTGGCAAAACCGTCTAATGTTCAAAATTCAGTTTTATTTATCAAGTCAGATCTATTCTTAACAGTTTTGTTTTTGGATCACCTTGAAATATTTATTTTTGTGAAAAATATGGATTTAAAAAAAAACATTGATATTTCCAATATTTTTCTGTATGAAGAACTAAGGTTGCTATGGTCCATCCATAGGCTATGGAGAATGACAGTGACAGTTTTGTTGAATCATCCCATACTTGGACATGTCATACACGGCTTTCAAAAACTATCAAATTGTTTTTTGCAAATATGTTTAAATTTTGAGGTGTCTTCTTACTTTAAAAAATGGATATGTCTACGAATGATGTTGCCAGAGCCATTAATTTAATCCAGGATGGACGGTCACAGTATTACGTAGCAAGTGTTTTAAACGTCACAAGAAGTAAAGTACAAAGGGCAACATCAGTCGGATACATTTTTAAAAGTAAGAAGACACCTCAAAATTAACACATTAATTTACAAAAAACAATTTGATAGCTTTTGAAAGCTGTATATGACATGTCCAAGTATGGGATGATTCAACAAAACTGTCACTGTCATCCTCCATAGGCTATGGATGGACCATAGCAACCTTAGTTCTTCATACAGGAAAAATATTGGAAATTGAAATGTTTTTTATTTTAAAATCCAAATTTTTCACAAATTACATATATCAAGGTGAACCAAAAACAAAACTGTTAAAAATAGATGTGACTTAATAATTAAAACTTAATTTAGAACAATATACGGTTTTACCACTCTACAGAGTGTCTTAAACTTATGGTATCTTTTTGTTTAAACGTGTATATTATAAACGGTCGTCTATTTTTTAGTAATTTTTAAAATGTGAGCGATTCTCCATTAATGTATCTACAATATTATTTAATATTTGTTTAAATCCGAAATCAAATAAAAAAGTTATTTGCGATTAAAAATTTGTGTGGATCGATTATTTTGCCTGTGAGTGTATTTAAATCATTTATTTGACATGTTAATAAATATATTACAACATTTATATCAATTAATTATTCGGGGAAAAAGCTTAAAAAATCTGTTATAAATAGAGTCATGTATCCTACTCTCTAAAAATGAAATAATCAAAATTTTACTATTTGAATTAGTACCAGCATTTTTTACTAATAAAATAGTCGTTTTTACTTTTAAATAGATATTTTTTACTATGTAAATAGTTAAAGTTTGACTAATTTAAGATTAGTCTCCATCTTTGACCATTTCTGAGAGTTACAAGTAACTAATTTCTTTAATCGTTTGCGGCCAACAACAAAGTATTATTTGAATGAAATCATGGTTAAATGACCCATAAAAACAAATAAAGATACAAAAAGTTTAGCTCAAAACAGCAACACAAATAATATATTCAACTTTAAAATATTATGAACAATATTTATTGACAAATAAAATTGTTTTTTATAAGAGCGGCTGATAGCCGAATGGGTTATGGCAACAGCTTGACAAGTGACAGACCTGAGTTCAATCCCCGGCTGGGTCAAAACTTTTTTTAAATATAAATCTACTAATTTGACTATTTTATTTAGTAGAATTTGACTAATTATTAGTGACTGCTTTTTCCCTATGACAATTAGACAAATATGACTATAATTAGTTATTTTTGACTTTTTCATTTTAAGATAGTTACCACTAGACCATACGGGATATACTTTATATTAAACTAACCTCGCTTTTGCGATTATTTTTGAAACTATTACATTTTTTGGAAAAAACTAAGACATCTTTTTATTTACATCAGTTAATTTACAACAAAAATTTGCGCTACTCATTCAAAATCCTAACTTTTCTGCTTATAACATTTTGATTCTTTTTTTTAAGTTGACCCAAGATATCTTTTGAGTTCACTATTAAAATGTGTATTAAAATTAGCTATATTAATCGAGGTAAAGTGCTTGAGATCATTTTTGGTTGTCAACAAGACAAAGTAATATAATTCATTTCTTCCCAAACAAAATTCAAAACAAACCATGACAAACTTGATTATGAACGTACCGTAATGAATTTTAAGTGACGTTTAAAATAAATATATGTCAGATATTAATCTGGGTATACACACGTGCGGCACATGCCAACGGCACGCCGAGGCGGTTATAATTTACGATGGCGTAAATCGGCTAGCAGTGAAATTATGTAACAGCGCGAAATGATAACACTAGTTTACAGCCATTTTGCCCACCATGTCTCACTATGATTTTCTTGTGTAGTTTGGCGCACTAAACGCGAAAATCACACTTAACATTTTTTTAATGGAAGCGTTTTCGAGATATGAATTTTCAATTGTTTTTTTTTAATATTCTGAGGTGTTTTGACGTTTTAGAGTATACTTCGAGTTCTAATTGATCAATTTGACCAAACAAGCACTTAAATCAAAGGTAATTGAGCCCTCTACAACTTTCTCCTGTATAGTTTTGGTATCGGCTCAGTAGTTCGATACTGGCGATTTTATGAAGTTGAAAAAGTCCATTTTATTTTACAAAAATCGAGGTCTAAAATTTACATATCTTTCTGGGAAAGATAGAAATCGAAAAGATAATTCCAGTTTGATTTATTTTAAGTATATATTATACTTAAAGGAAAAAAATAAGCTACTGTTGATAAAAATCCATGGATAAATGGAGAAGTTATGAATTTTTCATTGGAAGACCAAAATTCAGTTTTTCGAGAATTTTTACGTTTTTTCTTCATTTTATTGAATTTTATAAAATTTAATATTAAACAATAAATATTGAACATTGAGGAAATAAAAAAAGAGATTTTTAAATAATTCCTGATTATACAGTAAAATTTAATTATTTTATCAGGACTGTGCATTCTTAAATTAACATTTACATTTTAGTAAAATAAATTATATGTAAAATCTAATATATTATAATAAGAATATAACTACAGTTACATAAAGCGACATCTACCCAAAAATAGTGTGGCCAAATTAATGTTAGAAATCTGTTTTACCTGCTTTCAAAATGGAACTGTTAATTAAGAAGAAGTAAGAATTAAAAAATGCTTAAATTTAAAAAAAAAATAACAAATTAGTAATAAAAATTGTAAATTAAATATTGTTTGTTTATTAAATTGTTACATCTACGCATTCTTTTTGTTAAAAAAATATTTCATAAAATAAATTTTATATTTTATTGTCTCCAATGACCTAGTGCATTGTTGACATCCTACTTTGTTGATTTAACTTTTAAACCCTTAAAATCCCATATAGAAAAATATTATAATGATAAATTTAAAGACAAATCTAGATATATAAAAGTAATAAAAACAATAAATATTGTTTTATTCTCAAGTTGTTATTATTAAGGAATTTTCTATTATCCAAACAGGCCTATGATTACCTTCAAACAGATATGTATCTAATATCCTTAGGCATATAAGGAATGATAATAATTGACTACTGTAACGGTAGCATACATAAAAGATAATAGAAGTCTGCGTATTTTACGTATCGTAAGTTAAATAATTTTCTTCATTTCCCGAAATTTTATAGTTTAACATCAACTTCACCTGTTGAAAAAATCAATAATACCACTCAGGTAGTTAATTGCCTAGGAACTTATTAATTTAAAAAGTATTTCAGAGAACATTTAACTAAAATATAATCTTTGTTAAGTTTATTCTAATAAGGCATAATTCCCTATTTTTTTAATTTTTTTAATCGAACTTTTAAGAATATAAAATAGCAATATTTTGATTTTTTTTTTTAATTTTTGAAAATTTGAATGAAAAATAAAAAGACAACTATTTTTGGTTAGCACATAAATAGCTCAAAAATTTAAATTTGAATTTTTAGTATTCAAGAAAGTACAATTTTTTAAAAAAATTATACCATAATAGCATGCCATTTTATTCAGGAATTTAATATAGGAACGAGCGAGTGTTTAATTAAATGAGTGTCTAGAAAAGTTTATAAACGAGTTTTGTATTTTTTGTACCTGCGTGGCAAAACTGTGCATTCTCCTGTGTCACAGTAATAAAAATTATTAAAGGTACCAGTAGACTTTGTTTGATTCTCAAAAGTAAGTATCCTAGTAATGGTTTTAAGGGGAAAATACAAATTTTTATCTGTAAAACAGTAAAGAGTACATGTTCTAAAAACATACATTT